AATCTTTTAAACAATATCAAGAAAAATATGGAAGAAGATGACAAAAAACCTCTTTTTCAATTCTTCAAATCAAAGAAAGATTCTGAGACAGAACAAAATCTAGTTGTTAATGAAGAGAGTTTGATGACTATCATTTTTATTAATGAAAAGAAAATAAATAACATTTTTGTAAATAAATGTATTTACTGACATAATAATAGAACAAGACAAAAGTATTAGTTCAAAAATTGGTACTTTTATATCAACATTTACTTCAAGTAAACCATCATCACATAAAACTACAAAGTCAAAATCAAAAGAACCTGAACAATCATATCAACCTGCTTATCCAAGAGAATATGACCTTCTTACATCAGGACAATTTCAGTCTGAATCAGCTGTTCCTAAAGACACTAGATATATGAATGAAGGAACAACAGAAACAACTGATACAATGGGAAGTGTTAGTAGCTTCTCAACTACATTAGAATTTAATAGAAATACTGTTTTACCAGAAGAAATGGCAGAAAATCAAGAATTTTTTATGGGAAGAAATACTAAAACACCAGAACGATATATGACAATTAGAAATCAAATTATTGATATGTGGAATGAAACAAAACCAAATTATCTTTCTAAAACACAAGTTAGACTCAAAATGAAAGATTGTGGAGATGTTAATGCTATTGGAAGAATTCATAACTTTTTAGAAAAAGCAGGATGGATTAATAGTGGACCAGTTGTTGGAAAATATATTCGATCAAAAAATAGAATTCAAAAGAAAAGTAGTAATGCTAATACATTTCATCATAGTGAAGGATTAAGAAGTTCAAGTACTTCAGTAATTAATGAAAATGAACAATGTGGAAGTTTAAAATTTAGTGAAGAAATGGTTAGTTTTGATGAGAGTCATATTATTATGGAAAATTCATTATTATTAATAATGGATTTACATTCAAGACTGATTAATCATTCATTTGGATTATTATTAGGACAACAAATGACTCCATTATTATATATCTTTGATGGAATATTTCCATTAAATGTAGGAATTGCTCAACTTCCACCACTAGAAAAAGTAATTGGTATTTATCATTCAAATAATGATGTTTTACCAACTGAGTTTTCTACATATTATCCTTATTGGAGATTTGAAATCATTTATATGAGCCATAACAATTCATTCCATTTCTTTAATAGAACTAAAGGTGGATTAGAAGTAAAAACTATTGAAATTATTAAAAAAGAAACAGCAAAAATTGATTTAGAAAGAAGTCCTTATGTTTCATTAATTATGAATTCATATATTTTATCCCATTTAAATGGAGAATGAAGTAATTAGAGAGAAATGATTTAAATGCAAAATAGGAGTGTTATTTAATTTATTTTATAGTTTTAATATAATTTTAATATAATAAAATTATTTTAAGAAAAAAAAAAAGAAGTAAAAAGAGGAGAAAGAATGAACAGAAAGATTTAAATGAGTATTTCTTTAGAGACAGCTGCACTTATTGATGGATTATTATTGTGTTTTTTTTATTTAGTAATACTTATATTTACTATTATTAATAATTGTTTGAGATTTGGAAAAGGACTTAAAATGAGAGGTTTTGAAAACAAATCATGTCTTGGACCAAGAATGGTATTTAGAATTGGAAATTACTATACTATTTTAGATGGTTTATTAATGGGTATTGGATGTTTAATATATTATGGAATGGGGGTTAATTCATTTAATTTTTATATGTATTATGAATTATTAGATATAGGATGTGTCTATGGAATATTATTTACATTTTTCTTTACAATAACTACTGTGTTTGTAATTCTTCTATTGAAACAATAAAATATTTGTTTTAAGAAAATAAGAATTAATCTTTTTCTTTAGTAAAAATCAATTATCAAAATTATTACCAAATAACAAAAGTTCATTAACAAAATGGTTTGATGGAATTAATTCATTTAATATTGGATTTAGTGTATGTACTATTGTATCAAATACTGTATTATTAATTTATTGTGAAATATTATGGCAACATCAAGGATGCTTTGTAAGTTTGTTAATTCTTTTATTATAAAAATAAAAAAGATTATTCATTTAAATTAGTTGAAGCATCATATACATCCACAATATTTGAAATGATGTTTGGTTTTGAGTCAAGTATTCATTTTCTTTTATGTACTATATCAATGATATTTTTTATTCTTCATTTACACGAAATATTTAAAACATTTATTGATGTTGAATTTAAAAAGATTAAAAGAAGAGAAATGATTTGTAGTTTTATTCTCATATTTTCTTTCTTTTGTCGTTGTGTTTTTAACTTATTATTTAATGGTATTGCTGTCACGCAAAGTGAAGTCCTTCAAAAAGATGTTCATGATTATCATAGAGTCTATGAAGATTATAGAAATCAATTCCTCAATGGACCAACTGATTGGTTCAGCATTATAATAACAGCAATTACACCGTTGATAACAATGCAAATGATGGTAGATTATCCTTTTTAGTCTTTGTAATTCATTCTCTTTTAAATCATTTAACGTTTTATATAACAGAGTTTCAAAAATAGATAATAAAAAACCCCTCTTCACAAAAACTATAATAAATAATTAAATTATTATAAAAAAAATTAAATAAAAAGAAAAAAGAAAAAAATAAAAGAAAAACCCTTCACATAAACTTTGAAGATTGAGCAAAGAGTTTGTTACTGTACATACCATATTTGTTTTAATTCATTATTTTCAATAAAAGTGGTGTCTCGTTGAAAATATATTAACTAATAGTGTCTTTGAAGATTTCCGCCATTAAAGCCATGAGCAAAAATGATATGAACGCTAAGTTAATTGAACTTAAAGGTGAACTTGCCAACCTTAGAACCGCTAAAGTCACTGGTGGAGCTCCATCTAAAATCTCAAGATTAAGAGTTGTCAAGAAAGATATTGCTAGATTATTAACTGTCATGAATACTCAAAGAATGGAAGCTCTTAGAAAGTATTACAAACAAGCCAAATACGTTCCAAAAGAACTTAGACCAAAGACTACTAGAAAGGAAAGAAGACAATTAACCAAAGCACAACTCAATCTTAAAACTGTTAAAGCTGCTAAAAAGGCACAACATTTCCCAGCTAGAAAATTCTTTGTTCTCGCCTAATTTTAATTTTGGTTGTTGATGACTTTTTTATTCTTTTATTTTTCTATTGTATTATCTTTTAAAGGGTTTTTCCCTCTTATCTTTTAATGTTTATATTCTAATATCAATAATTGGTTTATTAACTTACGCTTTGCTTAATCATTTGTTGTCTTTGCTCTATCCACTTTTATTTTAAATATTGTTTTGTGTTATTCTTAATATTTAAGCATATTTCATACTTTAAAACGAATAAAATTTAATTTAAAAAAACCTGTTTCATATTATATAGTTGATAATAGAAATGAAAGACT